TTATAAGTATTATCTAAGACCCAGAATTTAAAGATAACTTCCCTTAATGCTTCAGTGAATAACAGAGTCACAGCAAGTCATGCATCTTGTTATTAGTATTTTTTTAATCTATGGCTGTAATTTCCAATAATTACAGGTTCCTGTGTCAGAAAAGGAGGCTCCACGGCAGAGAGGAAGCTGGGATAACCTGGAGCATATATATTCTGGCCTAAGATAATCTAAGCCCCAAACTTTAGGCTTGTGCTGGAAACATAAAGTTGCGTGTGGGAACAGGAATGTAATTTCAGCTCTCAGAAGGTGGACAGGAAGATCAGAAATTCAAGGTTATCCTGAGCTGCATTGAAAGTTTGAGGCCTGCCTGAGTTATAAGAGATCCTGTTCCATAATCACCATCAAAAAACAAGCATGAGATTCTTGCCAGGCAGGCTATCAACTTGTGATCCCTGTCATTATATCAGGAGCTCATGGCATACTTCAAACCAGATCATAATTGTAGGCTGAAAGAGAGTTGTGGTGTGTGTGTGTGTGTGTGTGTGTGTGTGTGTGTGTATTCTCAAGTGTGAGCTATCCATTTATTCATTTGTGGAAATTAATAAATCAAACACTGAAACAGAAAAAGGACTGTTCCTGATAAAGTAATCACAGAGAGAGACAAAAAAGATAAGCCCTAATGCAGTCTAGGTTCCTGTGTTTCAGTTGTACAGCAATCAGTGCCCCGGCTTCATAGGCAGGAAGGGGTACTCCAGTATTCTGGGTAGTTACAAATTCTATTGTGCTTCTAATTACCTACTTAATTCTTTGAATACCAATGTGCAATTAACATTACAAATAATCAAGGTTAAAAATATAATTAATGCAAGTGTGATTTAGTTATAATTAAACTAATTACACAGATATGTAGCATAATAAGAGACTTACAGACCATTATGTGAATGCAAATTCATTCTTCCTTTCAAGAGCAGTTATTTGAATTTCATTTTCCAATTATTTTACAAATGAAGGAATAGAATAATAAAGAATGGAGTCAGTGTTCCAGGGATGAAAATGCAAACCTTATATTTTTTATTCCTTTTAAATTCTGATTCTTTTGTCTATATAGTCTTGTAAATAGGCAAATTAGAGGGAATAAATAATCAGATGCCATGACAAGCAACAGAAATGCTTTCCTTCTTAATTCTGTGACCATAGGAAAAAATCAACATCCTATTCTCAAGAGATTTTCAGTTCCATATATGTAGGATCCACTTTAGAATTGTATGTGGAATGCACAGCTAGTCAGACAGACATGAGTCTGAATAAATTCAACTTCTTGTTCTCAGGCAGACATTATTACGAATGTTGTTTTCATGCATTGTCTCTGAATAGCAAAGCATAAATGCATACTCTGTCCTTGGACAGGAAAGTTAGAGTTTATAAATCTATTACTTAAATTTCCAAAATTTTAAGTGACAAATAATACATGTGTTTCAAGCAATATTCAAAACAATGAAATAATACCATTAAATGAAAACTGAAGTGTGTTTTAATTTAACATTGTTTTGATGTGAAATACATCTATCATCTATAGAAGAGAAAAATATGCTGTTATCCAAAAATCTTAGTTCTTTGCATGAAAATTTATGTACAATGTGAAGTCAATTAAAATTCTACTGGGAATTACAGATGCAATGCTTTGACTTTCTCTAAATCTAAAACTTGTGATCAGTGAGTCATTTTCCATTTTCACTGAAGCATACCTTTTAGAATAAATAATCACACTCATTTAAGTACCCCTGTGAGTCTGAAACAAAGAAAATTCTAGAGGCAGTACTTAAGACCACTTATGTCTGCCTTCTACATTTGAATACCATGAAGACAGTCACATACCTGGTCCCTATGAGGAAGAAAAGACCCAAATGTCCTTTATGACTGTGATAGAAGGGGAGACCAAATTCAAGTTCAAAATGAAATGCCCCTAAGTCTTGGGTTAGGGCAAAATATTGTTCCTCATTCAAAGAATCTGAAAATATCTCTGGAGATTAATAGTAAGGTGCCCATTTTCCTCACTGGACTGGCAGAAGCAGGACCAGCACCAAGTGCTATGAGTCTGTAAGTAGGACAATCACCATATAACCACAAGGTGAGGACCCTGACTGTCCACTAAAGGCTTGAATGTATGGAAACCATGCTGGACAGGTTTATAAAGAGGATAGGAGAATGAGAAAAAATAAGCCCACAGAACTCATTTCTAGTGTAAGCTACAGAAAAATCCATGAGAAAAATCGAATGAAAATGAAATGTGCAATTACATAAGAGAAAAAAATAACTCCTACCAAAGTCACACTCATGGATTAACAGCCTAGAAGGTAGTGCAGGACTACATCAGGAAAATTTCAAGACCGGAAGAACCAGTATTTCTACTAGCTAGAATGAATGTCAGTATACACTATAGTCTAAGATGATGAAGACAAAGTATCACACAAATTATTTTTCCTCAAGTTGCAGTAAAAGTTGATATAGTTATAGTCAAAACATTAAGTTTGTAATGAAATATGAAGCAAAGAAGTCCCTAAAATATTGCAAACAATTTGAAGAAGGAATTAGGAAGGACACTCCTGGTAACACTCCTGGTAATTTTCTATTGTCCAATAGACAATATGGTAGATAGCAGGGCAACGCATACCAAAAGACCACGGTGTGTATATCAGTTAATTTAGTTGCAAAAAAAAAGAAAGAAAGAAAAGAAAAGAGCATCTGCCGTGTCTACCTTCATCATCCACAGATAGATGATGAATGGATGGATGGATGGGTGGATGAATGGATGGATGGATGGATGGATGGATGGATGGATGGATGGATGGATGGATGGATGGATGGATGGATGGATGGATGGATGGATGGATGGATGGATGGATGGATGGATGGATGGATGGATGGATGGATGGATGGATGGATGGATGGATGGATGGATGGATGGATGGATGGATGGATGGATGGATGGATGGGAAGGAAAGGAAAGAAAGAAAGATGAATCAAGTAAGCAGAGCTCATTGGAGCTCACAGAGACTGAAGCAGCAAGCACTGGGCCTGCAGGGTCTGCACCAAGTCCTCTGGATATGATATGGCTGTTAGCTTGGTGTTTTGTGGGATGCCTAACAGTGGGAGAATTTGTTTCTGACTCTTTTGCCTGCTCAGATTGTCTAACTTAGATATGATATGAAGGTTTTTGCCTTGTCTTATTGTATCTTGTTTTGTTATGTTTGGCTGTTGTCTCTTGGAAGCCAGCTCTTTTCTGAAGAGAAACAGGGGGGTTGGATCTGGGAGAGAGAGAAGGTTGTTAGGGAGGAGTGGAGACAGGAGAAACTGTAGTTGAGGTGTACTGCAGGAGAGAAGAATCTATTTTCAACTAAAAGACAAAAATCAAAACGTCTATGATATTCCCTTATTGACCTGCCTTGTGACACTTTAGTTCCTACACTTAGTCAAAGATTCCACATAAAATCTAAAGGAAAAGGATGAGGAAGAGATACACTGAGATGTTCCTTGGAACAAGTCAGTTGAGGCCTAACACCGGCATGAACAAGGACCGACTACGACACGAGAGATGCTGCTTACTAAAGAGCAAAGGTATTTCGTTGAGAAAATATTTAAGTACTATTCATATAGGAAATCAATCAAATTATATTCCTGCTACACAAAAGATTCCAATATAAATTCCATATAAATTAACTACATTAAAATGATAAATCTTTAGAAAAGACGGGTGACAGCTTTATGACCTCAGAAAAGGAAGAACTACTTGTAAGCCCCATGCTACTTAATGTCCAACCCTCCACACACACTCAGACTTTTAAAAGCCAAGCCTAACCCCTTGGGGTGCTTGAGTTGTCAGGGCCTGCCCTGCCAGACTACTCTGACAGCAATATCAGCAGGTTCCAGCTCCTTAAGATGCAGGCTGCCAAACTCTGCCATACACAAGCAAAGCCCAAGATCAGGCCACAAAATCCCACCAATCCCAGGCCATCCTAGAACAACCCTGCAACTCAAAGAAACCCTATATAAAGCCTGTCTCCTTCTCAGTTCTTTGCTGCATCTCCCTGGAGCAGAGGCAACTACTTTATTGTGTCTTTCCCACTAAATCTCTTGTGTGATATTTGTTGTATGGTGTGATTTTGTGGTATTCTTTGGTTCCTGACTACCAGGACACCTTTCCCTTCAAAGCTGCAACACTTTTACTGGGGAAACCTTTCCCCTCAGAGCTGTAACACTTACACTACTCAAGGTTCAAAAAGTCACAAGTAGGATAACAATACAAAATTGACTCTACTATAACTGAGAATATATATACATGTATATGTAGCTATAAAATAAAATACAAGGAACTGAAAAGAACACTGAAAACATAAAATCTAGACAAGATGCATTATAAAAAACATATACTAAAAATTCCTATTTCAATTAATAGCCAATAATAATAATAATAATAATAATATCATTTTTAAAAGAACAAAACATGCATCAGGCAAATAGTAAGAAAAGTAATGAGATCTCATGCCAATCAACTTGTAGCATTAATTAGGACAAAAACCTGTGACTAGCTAGGGCATACTGTCTATGGACAGTAAGGGAGAACCTAGTTCTATTGTTCTGCTAAATGGACATGGAACATCTTTCTACACATAAAAATAGCAGCCAAAATTAGATGTATATGAATATATAGATAACAGCCAGATCAAGATGTAAACACACATGTATATCAGCATGCTTAAATTAAAAATGGTAAGCATGATGCATATATTGGCAACAGACTTTAAGATTGAGAAAAATATCTTGTCTTCTTGGCTGCAAGGTTTGAGTTTCAGTCCCTGATACTGGGAGATTTAACCACCCCTTTTGGGAAGTGGCAAACAGAAAATGAGTTTGGAGGAAAATAGTGATTGTAAACTTGAAGAGATGCTGGGAGCTCCCTGGATTTCATATCATCGTAAGTGGCAAGAAAAATGATAAAGTCAGGATCATACCCCTGAGGAGTTCTGATGACAGCATAGCCTGAACTTGGTGGAATTTCACCATTCAGAATTTTGAATGTTGTGCTCTTCCCAGCGCCATTCACTCCGAGGAGCCCAAAGCACTAAGAATAAAATGTGAAGTTAAACACAAAGTATGAGGTACAGCCAATAGTATATTACAAATGGCATTTGCTTTGCTGGTATGGTGACATTTCTGATGTGTGATGCTGTTGCAGTGTGGAACCATGCTACTGCAAAATGACATTTTATGCTTTGAAGAAGTTTGTGGAAATTGTGAATGAAAACATCAACACTAATCTAAAGAAAGATAAATTTGAATATAGAAAACAGCAGAATGATTAGTAAGTAATAATAATCCAAATTACCCAGAGATAATCAGGATAACGTCTTTAAAAGTTGCTTTCCTTCTGGTTTCATTTTTGTGTCTTTTCTAAAACTATTCTATTTTCAACTCTGAGTCTCTCTCTCTTTCTCTCTCTCTCTCTCTCTCTCTCTCTCTCTCTCTCTCTCCTTTTTTTCTTATTGATTTAAATTGGTTTAATTTTAACTCAAAATTCAATACTGTTAGGTAGTGAAAAATCAATGGAAACAATAGCTAGGAAATAATCCTTAATATTTTGTCCAGTTGTCCTAGAAATCATGGTCCCAATCTAGGTCACTCCTATAGTGTTTTAAATGGGTCTCTAGGCTTCTATGTACTCATGTCTGGATTATTTGCTCAGCAATAAGATAGCCATATAAGCACTGGGTTTCTCCAGAGCCTGAACCACAAGCATGTAAGGTGCCTCTTTATTTCCAACAGTTAACTAAAGGTAATCATTTCCAGGATTGATTTCCCTTTATGTATTGAGTCCAAATAAGCGTCAGTTTATACAACTTCTGCTGGTTCTGACTAAAGGTTTCTCTACAGTGATGTGCTATGTATATTCTTCAACCCTCCAGAATAGTGTGCTTCTAGATCAGTGGTTCCCAACCTGTGGGTCTTGACCATTATGAAGGTTGTATATCAGTTATCCTGCATACCAGATATTTATATTACAATTCATAACAATTACAAAGTATCATCAAAATAATTTATAGTTGGGGGGTCACCTGTATTAAAGGGTCACAGTATTGGGAAGGTTGAGAACCACTGTCCTAGATGGACTTAGCTGGGTACTCAAGGAAAATTGCAGGCTAAATAAATGGAAAGGTGGATTTCTTCTTCAACTGTATCTTTAAAAATATTTGTACTCAATAAAAAGTCATTCTAAAAGTCAAACCACACTTAAAACCACCAAACTACACAAAATTTAAAGAATTGTGAAACAAACTAAATTTTGAATCAATTTCCAGTATGCTGAGACCCTGTCTCCAGCTTTGGCTCTGTGACCTTTTGCAAATCTCTGGGATATGGAGGCTGCTTTCTGCTGTGATTTCAGATATTATAGGACTACCCCAAACAGAACTACAACTAGAGTTCACAGGTTCACAAGAAAGATTGGGTAAAAGTGCAGCTGTTACCTCGCCTCGTGGTATGCCAAGACTAATGCCATGCACAGCAGTGGTCTTCCACCTGAAAATACTTCTGTAACTTTTACTGAGGTTGCACAACACAAGGATGTCCCCTCCAGTTCTTCCTTCCAGCACCCTCCTTTGTTCCTTTTCAACATCTATGTCCTTAGCAGACTCAACTGTGTCCTCAGGAGCAGAGTGTACCCTAAGAAGATAAAGGCAGAGTTAATTTCCACCTGGGACAGTCCTGAAATGGCCCCCAAGTGACAACTGTGGAGACACAGGGAAAAACCCTCAGAACTTCTGCTCTCTGGGCATCCTAACCCTATTATCCTAATTACCAGGAAAAGTCAACTTCTTTTTCCCAACCAAAGGATAGACACCTGTTACCAAAAGAACCTTGAGACATCAACGCTAGAATAGTTTTTAATTTGGGAAATAAATAATGTCATGCCAGGCATCATAATAAGTGTGAAAAATATTGATCATATTATTATAAAATATTAACTTGTATAGGTATTTTGTAGTAAACAATTCATTTAATAAATATTTAACAACATAGATTGTGTACACACCTTATATATAAAAGCATCCAATATTAAACTTATAGCATAAATTGGATTGCATAAAAGGGTTAGACAGCTTTCTGCACATCGTGCATATATAATTCAACAGATATTTGCCAGATGAGCACAACACTAAACTTTGCACCTAACTGGTTCACTCTGAATCTAGACTGTTAGATCCTCATTGGATTTCTATCTGGGTATTTTTAACTATCAAGTAAATTTTCATTTCTCCAGCAAACTATAATGTGCCTGAATTTTAATGTATAAACCAATCAGAGTGTCCATGTTATACTCACATCAATTTCCTTGTTTTCAGTGTGATATGTTGTTATATAGCATATAATCATCTATTTGTAGAGAAAGGGGCATTTTTACAATTTGTTTTATAATTCTCAAATTATTTCAAAACAAGATTACTATAGCTAAGAGAAAATATCCATTGACAGTCCTAAAGAATCATCCCCATGACTTACTGTTATTTTTATTTTTCCACATCTGAAATCAACATTTAGCAAAAGTATGATTCATTGCTCAAATAATACAGATGAGAAAAGATGGCCAAATCCTCAAAAGGATCTGATGTTATAATATATGAAGACATAAAAAATGAATAAAAAATAAGCCAGGCATTAGTGGCACACACCATAATCTCAGCACTCAGGAGGCAGAGACAGGCAGATCTCTGTGAGTTCAAAGCCAGACTGGTCAACAGAGCAAGTTCCAGGACAGGCTCCAAAGCAATATAGAGAAACCCTGACTGGAAAAACGAGAGAGAGAGAGAGAGAGAGAGAGAGAGAGAGAGAGAGATCAGAGTAAGAGTTGTCCAAAGGGTAATTCCTCAGGAGCAGAAAATGTGGTGGGCACAAAAAAAAAAAAAAACCTTTGGAAGTATTAAGCTTAACAATCAAAAGGTGATTGACTCATTTTATAAAACCCCATCAACTTATACCTTGACTTCTGCTTGACTAGTATTTCTCCTTATCAGATAAGGACACCTTCAACCCTTCACCCTCTGCTGATATCTCAGAGGTCAGCATTAAAGATTCCCATCCTTTCCTTACGAGAACCATATGAAAAATTTTATGTATGTCTGTTGATCAGATTCCCCCAAACTAGGCAACTCAGGCTTGAGAGAGGGGCCAGGTAGCATATTCTTTAACTCTTCACTCTAATGGGTGGAGCACAAGCAAAAATTTGTTGGGTAACATCCAAAGAAACCAAATTCAAAATTGTTCAACCTCCAATCATAGTGCAACAGAAGGATCCAGCAGGGCAGTAGACATAGCAAGCCTGTCCTGGTAATTCACCACAGCTGGTATCTGGACCACAGGGCAGTTCTATCTCTGCCTGCCTGGGAACACAGCCAAGCTCCAGGCTATAGCAAAAAGGAGGCAAGAGGTCCCACACATACCTATATGGGCTGTTATCAGGCCAGGGATGTGAGCAAGTGGAGACTTGATACCCCAAAGCAGCAGAGGTGTGCAAGAGGAAGCCAGTGCAACTTAGAGGACACAGTGAAGTGGGTTTCACACTAGTGCCTGGGATGTGCTGGTAAACGTAGTGCAGGTGGTAAAATGTAGGCTCTATCTGGTTCCCAAGAGGGGACAGGCTCTTCCCATTCTTCTCAACTTTTAGCTAAAACTGGTATAATTTTCCCTAAGGAGGTCTTGCTGAGAAACTTGGCTATTCATATTCAGTACTGATTAGTGACTGGGTTCTATTTGGATTTAAATAACAAATTGGAGCTCACAATCATTATGACACTGAGTCATACGGGAGGAGAAGTCAGTGCCTCCGATCCTTGCCCTTCACATCAACATAGCACAGATGAATATTTGCTGTGGATATCAAAGACATTGTTCTAAAGTAGAAACTACTAATATCCTCTACGATGTAAAAAGGTAACACAAAAAGTCTTTTCATTGAAGAAAATTCCTTTGATACTGTAGCAGGATTGAGGAACCTGGAAGCTGCCAGAGGGATTCTCCATTGTGGGTTTTAAACACACTGAAGTATTAAGGATTATCACAGAAGCAATTACACTTAAAAGGTGTTCAGAATTCTACTCCAGAGTCAGTCAGCTATGGGAAATCAGCAAATTCCAGGATAATCATGCCAAAATTCAGAAGAGTTTGGGGATTTGTATTCAAAATGGTTCTCTACTTCAGCAGGCTCAGGGTATTTTATAAAGAAATACATCATGAAATGAATGAATAGAAAACAATACATGTAAAGGCACTGCCAAAAATATTAGCAATGGAGCTTTATAATCTGTAGCAGATTCTTTAGTGACAATGTGGTAAGAGATTTTTCCATAAAGAATCTCCACTTTGAGAGAGTCTCTCAGAAAAACAAAAAAGGTAAGATTAGAGAGGTGATGGGGGGATATCTCTGTCTGAAGTGGGAATCAGAGGCCCCAAAACAGAGAGAGGATCAGGTAGAGGGGAAAGCAACCAAGGCAAGGCAGAGACCATGGACATGAAAACACACTTCCTTGTAGATTTCAAATGTTTTTGAAATATTTATTTATTTTGTTTGTAGGAGTGTTTTGTGTGCATGTATATCTGTGAAGCATGTATGTGCATGGTGCCCTTGCAGGCTAGAAGAGGGCATCAGATCACCCAGAACTAGAGCTACAGATGATTGTGATTTACCACATCGGTAGTGGGAATCGGACAGGGGGTCCACTGGAAGAACAGAAGTGCTCTTAATCATTGAGCCTTATCTAACAAAGTTTTAGAATCTTTGCAAAGCTACCTTAACCCCGTGTGTGTGTGTGTGTGTGTGTGTGTGTGTGTGTGTGTGTGTAAATCATATGGTTTCTGCACTAAAGTCCTACACCTTCCTGACTCTACAAATTAATGTCATTTGGTTATAAAAGTGAATTATTTTATGGTATCAACCAGATTCAATTTCGATGTTACAAAGTATCAGAAAAATTGAGCAATTTCAAAGTGGAAGATAAACTAAGACAACCAAATGGTTGAAAGGGTTATTTTAAAGGTTGGCACCTTATGTTTGGAAATCCTTTCCATTTAATTGGTGATTCATACTTACCCACTAAAAAAAGAAATGTAAAATCTTTAACGTATTAGAACCATTCATAATAGTGGCAATAAGGCACATGTGTTTACCTTGCAAGGTCCAGATGGACTTTTCCTCACTCTTTATTCAAGAGACACAAGCCCTTCAGGACATACCTTGACCACCGCAGAAGGTCTCCATGTACCAGGATCCTCAAGAGGAGAAGAACTGTGCCTTGCAAGGTCAACTCCACGAAGATCCAGCCCAAGAAATTCATCTCAAAGGGGCTCACATAAGAATCAATGCCAAAGTTGTGAGTCAGGTCATATTTGATTTGATTGTAACAGAGTTCTATGAGCCCTTGGCCCAGGCAGAATTGAGGAAAAATCGTAAAAACCCACTTGAGAACATTGTAGATTTTCTGCAAATTCTGCACAGTAAAAGGGGGGAAAATGAAATTAAAAGATATTCCCATTTTAGAATATATACTAATAACTTCCTGTTGTTGCTGCTTGGGGCTGTTGGTCCAGTCTGCCCTATTCTTGTTACTCAGAAACGCTCTTGGACAGCCATATAGCCAGATAGGCTTACTCCTGAAATCCTGTACTGTATGTCTTGATAGGTTTTGCTCTCTCCTTCTTCTCCCCCCCTTTTTTGGTACTGGGGATGTGTGTCCTATGCCTGCCTCATATATTTGATTGTATTGCCTCACAGCAGGAGAGAAGTTGGGATAAAGTATATTTTTGAGTCTCACCCACATTTGAATCTGATGATGGTAGATTTTTATGTTTTTAATTGGGGCCATAATAAGTGATCTATTTTGGAGTTACTATAACAGAATGAGTTTGTGAAGTCCACCTGAGAAAGCCATGAGTCTTGGAAACCGAGGGGCAGAATGTTATGGATGGAATATCTGTACCACTCACAAGATATATGTGTTGAATTTTTTATCCCCAATATGGTATCTTAGAAAGTTGTGCCTTTTGAAGGTAGTTTTGTGTAGATGAGGACAATTGGAGGAATTTCTACAATGAAATTAGTGTCCTTGTAGGAAGAGAATGAGCCACTAACCATCTCTTCACTTTTCATTGTGTGAATACAATAAATGGCAACTGCAAGTCCATAACAGGACTCTCAGGAAAAACTACATCTAAAGTCACATTGATCTATGTCTGTGTCAATTAATGTATGTCCTGGAAGGATTCCTGGTATCAGTGAAAGTCTGGGATAGGCAGCTTTGAACTTAGGAACTAATTATCAATGAGAGAGTATGGTGCTTTTAGAACTCATTTTAAAGAACCACAGTGATTTTACACAAGTATTAACAAGGACTGTGTAATATGTGAATACAGAGTTAATAAAAAAACAGAGATTCATGAACTGACAAGTCAGTTGTTTGATCCAGAAATCGTAGCAATTGATACATATCAATATGCAAAGAAATAAAAACTGTGACCAGTAACCTGCTAACATTTTCTTGATTGCAGCAGAGATCTTCATCTGTGGGAGAGAAAGAAATGCCTGGCCTTGCCTAACAACCCAAGACACATCATTCTTTTTTTAATTTTTATTTTATCTTATTAGTTCAAATTAAGAACAAGCTTGCTTCAGATGTCAATCTCCTCCCCCCCCAACATCCCACCTGCCCCTAGCCATCCCCCCTCCACTCCCCAGGCAGGGTAAGATGCTCAAAAGGGGCTCCCCAAAGTCTTCTACATTATCCTGGGCCAGGCCTAGGCCCTTCCCCAAGGACACATCATTCTTTAACAGTATTTTGGCAACATGGAAAAGAATTGCATTGACACTACCATCTGCATATGCAATGGTTACTATGGTTGTTCTGGCTATAACCTGAGAGCACAGTTGCCATTCTTGATAGCTTTCACTTATTTTACAAGTTCATAATGGTTTTTAACATGAAAACAGGCACAATGAGTATTTTAATAATGTTAAATGGCTTCAGCAAACAGTACCACAATAAGGAGCAAAGGAAAGAGAAAATCAAAGCAAATCCAGTCAAATGCCCTCCATTCCTAACTGCTGAGTGACTTGGACTCTTTCTTCCAGGAAACACTCATTGCCTGTTGGTTCTTTCATATGGACAGTGTTGTGTATAAGTGCAGATAATAATGTCTTTTCACTCACCATGTTGTTAGTCTCAGGATGAAACCATTCCTGTCTAGCTTTCTCTTTAGTTGCAAATGATTCACCTTTCTTTTCCATTGAGAATTAGCTTACCCTACTTCTGTTACCTAGTTTTCCCAGAGCTGCCCTGACTTTGGGTTTCTCCTACTTGTAACTGTAATTGGGTCTGGTTTCCTTCACACCACAGTTTATAGCATTCTCAGTAACCCATATCACATTAGAAATCTATGGGGTGGAGTAGGGCCTCTATGCCTCTTCTGCTGACTTCAATATTCTCCTCAAGTTAAAGCCAAGTAATTGTTCAACAAGCTCTCTATTTAAAGGCTTGGAATAGTAATACAGATTAGTGTCAAACACAATCTGTAAAAAAAAAAAAAAAAAAAAAAATTCACTGAAATAGATCATTGCCACCATTGAATGCAAAATGGATATTTACATACTCCACTGCTTCTACACAAACATGAGGCACAATAATAAGAGATAGAGATAGTGTTGGCCATCATTGAATTGTCTATCAAGTCTGGAACCCAGACACAAGGAATAAACCTGTCCCGATGGGAACAGTCCCTTTCTTGCTAGAAATGGAAATATCAGCATTTCTTTCCACTAGGGGCACTGTACCTCTCCCAGGTGAATTTTACAGATTGTGGCTCAAATACCTGGGAACTACTGAACCAGCAGAGAGTATGAGACCAGCAAAGGACTTATGAGCATAATGTGCTCAGAGGTGAGAATCAAAAGACAAAGAAAGGGCTGAAATATGAGAGTTAAGGAGAGGACAGAGTCTGAAGCCTATTTCCACAAGTCACATGGGTCATGATGGCTTCAAGCAAAAGCTAAGGGTGAGGACTGCCTCATTGAGGAGCCAGGGTAGAGGGAAAATGGAGGGAATGATGGAATGTATCTGCAGAAGGGATTTCAGCTCACCTCTAATGCCTGCTAGCCATTGGGAAAACCACTCCCTCGTGAACACCCCATGCCCAGGGCAGTGTTTTTCTCTAACATTTGGAAAGACACAGTACTAAAAAAATTACATGAATCTCTGACACCATTCTTCAGGCACAATTTAATGTGAGTATGGACAGGTCTGTATCCCATTTTACTTAAGATTTCAAGCCAGGATACAGTGATACTTTGACATACTTTACTGTTTTTATGCCTCTACCACCAATACGTCAACATCTGGGGATCCTTGAGAAGGATGTTGGTAACAGAACAGTGAATATCTATGTGGCCCTTCCCTGGCTTATGGAGCAGCTCCCATAACAGCACAGTTAAGAAATCAATCACTTCTTCTGTGGTTAAAAGAAAAGGACACTTATATGTTTCCCTGAATTCCACTAGGACATACAACTTCACTGATGGAAACTTGTAAGGTTTGACTCCAAAGTATCCCTCAGTAGAGTTGCATGCTCAACACTTAGCTACCAGATGGTGGCACAATTTTGAAAGATTCGGTAAACTTGAGCATGAAGAGTCTGGTGGGAGAGAGTAAGTCACTGAAAGCAGACCTCTGAAGGGGGTACCTAGTCCCCAGGCTCTTTGTTGCACTCCAGGAGGTAAACGGCCTCCTCCCACACATGTTCTTGCCAGGCCCTAAATTGAAAGTGAAAGCCCTCTTAAACTGTGAGCCAAAATAAATCCTCCCTTCTTTAAGTTGTGTGAGTCAGCCATTTTGCTGTAGTATTAACAATGTACATAGTGGACCTCTCCATTCTCCTGATTCTGGCACTGTAGAGATGGTCCACTGCCACTGACTCACCTGAGCTTTGGAAATGATGGCTAAAAGCCGGGGCATGGTGGTCATGAGCATGGTGCACAAGCCAAAGATGAAGTTCAAGGAGATGTAGGAGATGAAGGCAACGTCTGAACTGGAAAAGATTCTGGATATCAGATACATCCATGGAATCATTGCATATCTAAAAAGGAGGAGAGAAGTCATGTTTATCTTCCTGAAATGTTTATTTGTTAACACAACTGAAGTAAAGTACAGATGCAATCTTAGTAAAATGGTTGCATTTGCCTCACTTTGTATAATATATATAATAGTCTCCTGTGGAAAAGACCCTTTCTGGAGCCTCCAAAGACCCTACAAAGTGAGGGAAAAGTGTCAAGGGGGTATGGGCTTTCCACTGAACTTTACTACTATTACTTATCATGTCTATCAGTTGGAATTTCTTTGCCTCCCAAGCCTATTGCAACAACAATGCCCATTGTTAATAGTGGGAATTGAAAGATTCCAAGGTTATAACAGTATTCAGAGGTCTCCATCACAAAGAATAGTGATACTAGAGAACACCACTGGGTTTAAAAGATAAATTCTTATACTGGAGAAAATGTATGGAATATGATGGACAAAGCCATATATTGTCTCAGAAACCTCACTCAATAGCAATCTGCCTCATAATTTGATCCTGCAGAACATTTTGGGAAGCATATGTTGGAGACAAGTCCTTCAAAGCAATTGTTCTAAAATATTTGCTATAGTAAAATCTAAATAACTGCCAAAGAGGTGAGCATCACTAGATAATCATGACTATCCCTGTTGGAAGTAAAGTGCTAACAGGAAGGATGAACTCCCACCTCTAATCCTACATACACTTCCTACTGACCTTTCTAGGGAAAAACTCAACTATTATCCTTTGTCATGTGGTGATTTTCAGCAACTAGGAACCAGGTATGGTGGCTCACACCAGTAATTCCAGAGCTCAGGCTGTAAGGCAGGAAGATAGAGAGTTCAAGGACAGTCAGGTCTACATAGAGGATAAAATTGATGAAAAGAATGGAAAAAAGGAGGAGGAAACAAATTATTTCTACAACTAAAATACATATAAACAACAGTAGAAGCATGTGTGTCAAATTTCAGGGCTGTTTTAATTTCTATCAAATTAACTCTTAAAAAAAGAGATTATATATATATATATATATATATATATATATATATATATGTTTTCATTTTATAAAGGGAGACAATTAAGAAGCAGGGATGACCATCCTGGTATACTTAAACCAGAACTACAAAACAGCCAGCCTTTCTTTGTTCCTTCTACAATATGGCATCCAGCCAGCTCTCTCTGTTAAACTTGAAAATATAGGAGCTAAAGGAATTGGAGGGTGGACACCACCTCACAGAATATCTGATGAGGTCAGTTGGCATAGCACAAAACACAGCCAGATGATCATTGGCTTTGATCAGCATCCCCATGTTCACAGGGTGGCCCTCTCACCGCCTGCCCCCCCCATTGTCATTCCAGATACCCTGAGCTGTCCTTGAGGAAGTAATTACCACCTCATTGCTGGTCTCCACTCCACTGGAGATTGTATAGACTCTGTACTTTGCCACACTTTACATGAGGTCTTCATACTGGGTTATGTCCTTCAAATATTTGACAGGTGGATCAAAGCATTATCTACAAAAAAGACTCTGAGACAAAGACATAGCCTTAAATGACACCCCTGGAGGCTTCCCTTCCTGCATTAATGAGTCTATGAACTGATTTTCGACCAGCGATAATTCCATGATTTTTTAAACTACATTTTTATTACTTTCCCTTCAATCACTTGGTTGAAATTAACATATTGGCAGATCCACACACCCCCAATCTTTTCTAATTTTAAAGGGAAAATTTAAATTGACTTATAGAGCATAATTTACTTTATGTGAAACCTATGGTGACTTTTAACACTCTCTACTCTTTTATTAAAATATGTCATTCTTGTAATGATTGTATAATTCACTGGAGGTCAGGCTACTGTTCACAGGTATTCTGGAATAAGAAAATATTGTGTCCTCCCACTGACAGCTGGTCTCTTCCTCCTGTTGTGTGAATCCCCTCTCCACCCTCCCCACTGGAACAAATGGAAGCCTGTGTTCTCATTTTCACAATGCTTTAGCACTAAACATGCATCAGATATGTTCTTAGTTTTACATGTTTTTAATAAGCTGTTTTTAATAATTACTTTGGTAATTTTAGTGTTACTTTCTTAATTTGTTTTAATTGTTTGGGATTTTTGAGAGAAAGCCTTAATATATGGCCTCATGTTGGTCTTTATGCCTATGTTCTTTTCTTCATAATTTTTTTTAATTTATTTTACATTCAACCATAGCTTTCCATTCCTCCTCTCCTCGTGTTCCCTTCCCCCACTTCCCTTTCTACCCAGTCCCTGATCCAATCCTCAGAAATGGTAAGGCCTCCCAATGGGAGCCAACAAAGCATGTCTGCCTGTGTTCTGAGGATCTGAGTGTTGGTATCACAGGTGTATGCCTTCATGACCAACAAAACTCATTCATGTTCATTCTCTCTCTCTCTCTCTCTCTCTCTCTCTCTCTCTCTCTCTCTCTCTCTCTCTCCCCCCCCCCCCCCCACAACTACCTAATCAGATATGAGCTCTCAGCTACTTCTCCAGCACTGTTCCTGCCTGCCTGCTGCCATACTCCCTGCCCTGAGGATAATGAACTAACCCTCTAAAACTGTAAGCAAGCCCCCAATTAAATGCCTTATTTATTTTCATTTATTTATGTTGGTTTTTGTTCTTGCTTTGTTTTTGTTTTGTTTTTGAGACAGGGTCTCTCTCTACATAGCCCTGACTGTGCTAGAACTCACTATGTAGAGGAGGCTGGCCTCAAACACATAGATTCCCCTGCCTCTGCCTCCCAAGTACTGGGATCTTTGATGTGCTTCCATGCCTGACCTAGCTTTTGAAAGGTTCAGGCATTACACTGGCCTGGCCCTGTTACCCAGCAGAATCCACTCAGGCAGTACCCTGGTCAGCCTAGGGTTCCATGGGAACTAAGTTTGCACGAAGCTGTAAAGGAACCCTTTAAAAGACATTCCCCTGCCTACTTATGCTCTCTTACTCACTGTCTCTCTTGCTGTCCTCTCTCTGCTTGCTCTCTCACTCTCTCTGTCCCTCTCTCTGTCTCCCTGCTCCCCCTCTCCCCCCACCTGGAATAAACTATGGTTAATGTATCTCTTGTTCTCACATCTCATCTTGTGCCTTTTTATATTTTTAAAATTAAACAAGATAACAACAGCTTTATTTATAAATTGGCTTGGGCCTGGTGTCTTCTCACGGCTATAAAAATAGTAACTAAAATAAGGAAGTATGTCACTCTTGGGAGAGACAATAACTATCCATCCATTAATCTATGCTTCTCTAGAAATCAAAAAAATGTTTAGTTAGAAACAGAATTTTCTAGCTTGATGTTAAACATTTTTTTAAAACACATTTCATAAGATTAAGTTTTGACCCCTGTAACTTCATTCAAATTTTGTCATCATTTTTTAAGTCTGGCCCTCTAAAATTCAAACAATTTTATACCAAGGTCCACTTTACACATGCTACAATGAAGTATAATAACACTTGCCCAGTCAATCAGATTAATAAACTGAAATGAGATAATAGGCATAGGGTAGACACATACTCTTAATATATGAGCTCATAACTTTCAAATTGGGTGGAACACCATGTTCTGCAAGCATCTTTTTAGTAAACACATGATTTCTCTAAAAAAAATGATTCTAAGAATAATAGTAATGGCTAAAATTAGTTTAATGACTGTCAATTGTCCCTGATGCTTAACTCATTTAACTTTCAGCAGCAAAATTGGCTTTTTACAGGGAAGAAGCTAAGGTCTAGAAGGGGAATTAATTTTAGCAAGGCCACCTTGTAAATGACATCATGAATATGCCTAAAAGAATTGGCTTCCTTGTACCATGTCATATTTTCTCAGTTGCTCATCCATCAACTCATATCCATCTATTTATCTGATGATGCACTCATACATATTTAAACAAAGTTCTGTCCCCTAGTTAGATACTTTGACTAATTCTCTATCACTGGATTGAAAACCAAATATGTAAAATTCACTTTAGTTATAGCCTTTGGCATAAATCTGGGTGTTATTTAAAAAAAACAGTACATTAATTAATTTTCTCCACCAGAGAGGTACCATTTGGGGTTTGGTCACATGTACCCAGTGTGTATAACTAAGAATTTCTGCAGTGACTTTTCTACTTCTGTGATTTCTCCTCTGAGGAAAAAGTGATAGAAGTCACACAAAATACTTCCAAGCTACTAATATTATAGGAGAGGAAAAAATATGCCAGACAGCTTTACAAGAGAATCTCCACAAATGCAATTTCAGAGCTAACTGGATTATGTATTTGAGCCCACGATTAATGTCAAAGTGAGAATAACAGAGAATCCATTTCCCACTGCACAAGTTTGTCAAACAGCTTGGGGGCCTTTCTAGAGAGAACCAATGCCATCTTCATTACGACCATGTCAACCTTTCCATCCTTACAGGGCATTTATCATCTTGCTCAAGCTTGTTTGCTCAGCAGCCCTTGTAGAAGCAACATAATTGCTTCAGCAGACAGAAAATCATGAAGCAGACAGCAGGTTCAAAGCCATCCTGAGGGTTTTCTTTCTCAGAAAACAAACCATAATTCTGCAACCGTGTTTCTCATCACATACCCGAAAAGTGCCAGCAGGAGGGCTGTGGCCACCAAGTTCTCCCGGAAAGTGAAAGCTGTTAACTGGAAGGCAACTATAATGGCAACACACAGGCATACGGAAACCAAGTAAAAGAGCTGAAAAGACAAAGGAGGACACACTGCATTAGACAGGGATATTAATCATTCTCTATTTACTCTGTAATTTCCATTCAATTCTACTTAAACCTAGCTCCTGCTTTGCATATTAGAATATTTTTAGAGTTCATCATGCTGAGTCACTGTCAAGGTCTTGGTTGTGGTCCTCTAAAATTGATGTGCTAAGCACCCAGAATTTCAGAATGTGACTGCATTTGAAGTCAAGGTATAGTGGCATCTTGTTCTGCCAATAGATTTGAGTTACTGGCCTTAGGGGGTAGCGCCTGTCTTCATCAGGGTCTATGTGACTTTAGGGGAAAGCAGACTCAATAACCTACCAGAGAGTCACCTATGCCTATCTCCCTTAGGAAGGGTCAAAGAACCCAGATACTGTCCCAGAAACAAGGTCTCCCCCCCCCCTCACACACACACACAAACAGAGAGAGAGAGAGAGAGAGGAAGGGATGGGTGGATATTCCCTGTTTTGATTTCTCTACAGCCTTTCCTTCAAGAACTCTGCACAGGCAACAGAATCCCGGGCCTTCCTCAGGCACTCCTAAACCTACTATTTTTTTCTCAGGGGTCACTGACTACAAAATGCTTCCTCAGAAGCACCCATTAAACCAAGTCCTTTTTCTCCTCAGATCTTTGCTGAAAATTAATTACTCTAATTTCCTGGATTAAAGTTATCTTTAAACCACTACCTTCTTTCATTCTTGCAAAAGATTCAGTTATGAATCAGTTAAATCTGGTATATTTGCTGTCTTCTTCTTCCAGTGATACTGTGAACTCTGTTGGGGCAAGCCCTACTCTAACTTACTCATCAATTTAGTTCTAACATTCAGTCCTTTGAGTGAGTGAATCCAAAACAGATAGGCTGGTTGGCTTACAGACTGGTTGGCTCAGCTCTTGAAGCTTAGAAATCTAAGACCAGTACAGTAATAGATTTAGCATACGGTGAGCAATTGAGAAATGATGCATTTTTCCTGTCTTGCCACATGGCATAAAGAGTAAGAAAGCTTTCCATGGTCCCTTTTATAAATGTACTAATGCATTCATGAGAGCTTCATCCTCTTGATCTAATAATTTCCCCAAAGATTCCGCTTCCTAATAAATACTATTACACTGGGGAATAAATTTGAACAATGAGTGTTGGGGGGGGCAGGTTCTACAGTTCAGTCCTCAGGAATCTTGCACACACCCTGGCCCATAACAGATCCTCAAAAATAAATATTCATTGATTGAATTGTTGAATAGAATAAATATAAAATGATTGAGTAAAAGAAGAGTCAGCCAATACTAAAATAGTTCTTCCTGCCCTTAAGCCCCAAGTCCACACCTCATTCAGAGTTGGGGATAAAGAGATAATAAAGAAAGCACAGACAAGAGGGGGAAATCCCAGGGTCTTTAAGGTTTGTTTTTTCTGTGGTGTCATTGATGTGTGGCTCTTTGTGCTCCTACTCTTTGTTGGCACAACCTTCACTTTCTCTGGTACCGCTAACTGGCAAATGCTGAGAGCACAGAAGCTTGAGACTGTGGTACTAGAGACAAAATTGAGTGGGAGGTACTTAAGTGTGGTTCTGTCCAAACAGAAGCAACATTCTGGAGGATCCAGTGGGTCCCCATGTAGAGAAGTGGCTTAATAAAGATAAAGCCTTTGGGGACCAGCACGTCTCAGACTTGAAATTTATCAATCATCTTTAGTGTTGGCTGAAGGCAGACTTGTAACAGAGTCCTAAAATGCCAAGGTATTTCAGATGTGGCTCAGATAAACTATGTTTTATAACATCTAAATTATAGGATCAAAAGTAAATAAATCAGTTGAGCTCTAAGCCCATTCAAACAGCAACTTTAACACATCAGTTCTGTGTAAAGCAGAACACAGATGGTCAGAAGCTGACGAGTAGGAGGCTCTCTGTGAGTTTCAGGCCTTCCCTGCCTTCTGCTCACATAGGATTTTCCACATCATAGAATGAATCATATCCATTAGGGCATGAAGGCACATAATATTGCATTTGAACAAAAATGAAAACTCTACTCCACAGTGATGACATGAATAGTGGTTGTGAAAGAACACTACAGCAGAAGGCATACATTGAAAATACCTGGCCTAAACTCTAGGCAGAAACTCAACAAGGACTTGCTACCATCACTGAAAGAACAGAAAACAGAGTCTAGAGATGTCCATACCACAGAAAACTCTGATACCTGCCACCTCACCTTGGAGGTACTCATACTAGGGTCAAAGGTTAGGGATACAGATGAGAGATAATTTCTAATATTTTCACCATCTCACTTGTAGCCCTCTGAAAGAGAATAGTGAAGGCTGTTGCTTACTCATTTCCTCACTAAAAAAGAAACTATTACTGGGAGGGTCCTTTATTTCAGAGATCTCTATACCCTGATTCCTGAGTCTTCCTTTCATGAAGCAATCTTGAATGATTGATGACGCCTGGTAATGGGAGCCTGATGGGCTGCTCCCAGCCAACAGAATGAGAGCTTCAGGTGTGGACTGCCCCATGTAGCTTGGGTCCTTCCACCTCCATATTCATATAAGGACCATACTCCCAAATCCTACCATGTCGTATAAGAAGTTAATTAGCCAATATGTCCTGTAGCCAAGGCCACTTATATGTTGCAACCTTTTAGCTCCGGTCACCCTGTCTCTCACGACAGAGCTACCAATCGATGCTGACAAGATGGAGAATCCCAGGACAATGCAGAGGGCGACACCACACTGGCGGATGCTCTCCAGTCTGTGGACAAAGGATAACAGATGCCATCAGACATCACAGAAGAAACCAGGCCTTGCTTGTATGATTAACACTTAGGGAAAAGGAGAGACAGGCAAATGTCAAAAGTGTCTGGATTCTCTCTCCCTCTTTGAGTCCCCTCAAGTGTTTTTGAAGATGTGGGTTATTGTTGAGAGCTAACACAATGCAGAACAGAGAATAAAATAGAGAAATATGAAGCTGAAGAGTATTTCAGCATCTTGCTATCTCAGTCTACTCTTGATCACAGAGTCTGACTATCAACTAAATGGTCAACTTACCCAGAGCAGCATCCAGATGTTGTGATCCTTTGCTACATTGCAATCACTTACTGTGCAGCAGAACCCAAAGGAAAAGACAGTTGGAGGGCTGCTTGCTTCAGGGGCTCATGTCAAAACTTAGGTGCTGGGAATACCAAATGCTTTATAAATGACCATACACTCTCTCAGACAGGTGTCAAGTCAAGAACTGCCACTGTCTATTCTGTCCATCTCTAGGAACAGGTGGGCACAGGCAGTCCTTTAGGTACCTGGCACAATGAACAGTGTGGCCATAAACCACCCACTAGACTATTCTTTTCTTCTATCACACATTGTTTTATGATGGTCATCAGCTAAGTCATGGAAGCACAGTGGTCAGGTGTCAAGAGATTGCTGGAGGTAGGACTCTAAAAAGCGATAGGTAAGAAGGCAAAATGTCAGCTGCCTTTACTGTTCTATTGCTTATTTAAGAAGAGAGTCTGCATCAAGATATGTTCTCCACTTGGCAAGCCACAAGTATAAATAATACTTTTATCGTCAATTTTTAACTAAATGATTGTTAGCTATATGGAAAAGGGGGTAGGGAAGAGAATGAAGGCAGAAACAGTGTAATTAGTGGCAAAGTGTTGATACCTGACACTTAATAATTCTGTACCCAAACACACCTGCAACAGCAATGCCCACCTCTAGCTGCACTTCTTGTGGATTGTGAATTTTTTGAATCATGCATGAGAAATAATCATGGATAGTATGTTTGTCAATGTGGATAGTATGTTTAGGTTTTTAATATGAATAGTCTTCATGGAATATATGTTCATAGGCTATAGGAACTCTTCATTAGACATTTTTTATCTTTGAAAAATGTAACTGAAAAATGTTCTCACCCACTTCCCGCCCAGCCATTGCCCTTTCCCTTTTTAAAACTACCTGTTCCAGTGTCTCTTCTAAAAAATGTTTAAGAGGGATCAAAACCACTCCTCAGAAACTCGGAAGTTTTTGTCCCTTCCCTTCCCCCAGCATTCTGTCAACTCACATCTTGTCTTCATTCAGCAGGGCCCCTCCATACGGATGGCTGTACAGTGTTATTCCTGTGAACAACAGATTGAGATGTAAGCTTCATGCCCTGTCCCCTGGGGAGTCATCTCCAAGCCACTCATGAGATGTCTGCTGGTTGGTCTGCCCATCCCCAGCCCATTACCAGTAACAAAGGGCAAATGTGTTCTTGACATTAAACTGGTGTATACTTGGCTTTTTGTTCTTACTGCTTTTGTCAGACATAACCACCATGTATTTCACATGTGTCATATCACAGGTACCATGCTCCTCTGTCAAATGGTATAAGTATCCTAGTGCCCTAAGTGATGTGTCATCACACTTTATAATAAGGAAAGAGGCTCAAGCTAAACAACTATGTGCAGAGAGAGCACTTGATAGAAAACAGGCCAAGTCCAGACAGATGGAAAATTGGGCCATTTTCTTGAGCCAGTTTTGTTTTGGGGGCTGGTGGGCTTTGCTTTGCTTGCTTTGTTAGGCTCATGTAAGAGTGCAACACCAGAACCAACATGAAGAAATCACCACCATGTCATCAAATAAGATCTTATTATAAAGCTCTTCAGAATATTATACAGCAAGACACCCTTTTCTTAATAAATCCTAACTGATGCTATATCAAAGAACCCAATACCTTAGCAAACAATTTCTGCTTTACCCTAAAGTCAGTGTGAACTGTGAGCCATTATATTTTCTTCTTTACACTGGTCATTCTGAATATTCAGAGCCAAATGTGGGGCTGGCATATGAAGACCAACACAGTAAGCATGAAGCCCTTTCCTTCCTTTCATGTTGCTACTGTATTTTTCTTCTCCCTTTGACTCATTCATTTTACATTTATATTGTTACCTGTTTATGTATTCCTTTAGGAGAGTGCACTAAAATCCCACCAAACCATTAAGGATATAAATAAGTCAATATGAAGGAATCAATAAGTACAATATTGGGTCAGAACATAAGAAGCATAACCCAGAACCCTCAAGTACCATGACATCTCTCTGCTACTGTACCCCTCCCATTTGCTCCAGCCTTTTATTTTACCCCACATTGGGATCAGTCACACAACCAGGTAAGCTCTGGTCTAAAACCGAAAAAAAAATAATAATGGGAATTATTTGTTCAGAAATTCTCCTGAACAATGTCACAAAATAATTCCTATGATTCTGAATTAATGTCCAGGTACTCTTTTCCTGGCATCCACTCTATGGGTATGACACCTGCTGTGTGGTTTTCTCAATCCTGGACTTGCACAGCCTTCAACAACTGAATTGCTAGAGTTGTCTAACTGACTGGCAGGATTGGTAACACCCATGAGTCTCTCTCCTGTTTGTCTTCCATGATGTGATGCCCTACCTCCCTTTGCTATGCTGCCTGCTTGAAGTGCTGACTCACTGGCAGGCAGAATTTCACTTGGTGGCTAGCCTCATATTGGCCAGCTTCATACTGACTAGCCCCACCAGGTAGCCACACACCCAGTCCCCTGCAACCTGCAGGTTTGTGATCTCCCAAACAAAACCCATTATTAGTCCATAGGTGTTCTCCCTTCAGGATTCCCATTATCCCAGTCACCCAGACTCAAAGGTGAGTCCCATCCCCTCCTCATTTGTCTCTGCCACGTGTTCAAGCTCCCCAGTTGTGTTACTTCCATTTTGCCCCCTGCCCTGCCACATAGTCACAGTGCTCATGTGCACTAGCTCCTTGCCTTGGTGGCCCTGAACTCACATCATCTCTAAGCCTTCCTCTCCCCAAGCTCAGCATGTATACCAGCCCCAACAGTCTACAGAGTGCTTTTCTAAAAGAAGAAAGGAAAGCAGGGAGGGAAGGCGGGAGGGAGGGAGAGACGGACAAAAGATAGAAAGAAAGAAAGAAAGAAAGAAAGAAAGAAAGAAAGAAAGAAAGAAAGAAAGAAAGAAAGAAAGGGAGAGAGAAAGAAAGAAAGAAAGGAAGGAAGGAAGGAAGGAAGAAAGGAAGGAAGGAAGAAAAAAAGAAAGGAAGGAAGAAAGAAAGAACATGAAAGGGCAGGGGGATGGAGAAAAACAGAGCAAACATATCCTTCACCTCCACACAGGTTCACTTTATGATAAAATCCACTGATTCCATTTGGAAAATGGGATTAGTATCATTTTCCTTCACCCTGATGCATTTTATCTTTGCCTTCAACTTCCTGATCCAGGACCCACTGACACCTCATTCCATCCCACTCCTATTCAGAAATTAATTTCATTTTTTGAAATCATTATTACATTTTCATGCTTTAGTCAAGCAAAACCAATGAATAAAAAAATGTATAAAGACTTCTCCTGTCTTACATTGGTTTTACTTATGAATTTTCAACTCTACAGTATGGCAGAAGTAAAATATACTTTGTTGAAATTATGCTTCAAAATTGAATTTTAATCTTTTCCTGGCCACTGACATTTGGTACCATTCTCAGCAGCTGGCACATTGAGCAGCAAGTCCTAACTATCCACATGATCCATCCTCTATAACTGATCTTTAGTCTGTTATTTGTTTTATATGAATTTATCACTTATCACGTTTTCAACTTATTGTGAGTTTATCAGTGTATGAGTTTAATAACTCCATCATTTAGTCGAGCTGAATCTATGTTCCAAGTTTACAGAGTCATTTTTAACACACAAATAGATGGTGAAATGATTAGATTAGTAGTTAGGCTAATTAACCTAACCATCATTTCTAAAACAGTGCCGATGAGAATGTAAATTAGTGCAACCATTATGAGACACAGTATAGAGGATGTACTTCAAAATTTAAAACCAGAAATATTGTAAGATGTAGCACCCCCAATAAAAGACTGATGAGATCATACCCAAGGAATAAAATCATTATATTGATAAGATGTATGCATATCATGCTCACTGTGGCCTCAGTGGCCAAGATAAATCTACAACCAGTGTCCATAGAAAGACAGAAAGATGAGTAGATGTAGAAAATATGTTGTTTGTGGATATAAATACAGGCATTTGCAAATATGTATGTATATATGTATGCATATAGGATTTTTTGGTTTTGGTTTGCTTGTTTTGGTTTTTCAAGACCAGGTTGCTCTTTGTAGCAGCTCTGGTTGTCCTGGAACTCTCTTTGTAGACCAGGCTAGCCTTGAACTCAAAGAGATCCACCTGCCCCTGCCTCACAAATGTTGGAATTAAAGTCATTCACCACCACCAGGCTGATTCAATTATTTTTAAAAGAAACACAAATTTTGTTGTTTTTGCAAAAGCATTCCTGAAATAAATACATGGATAAGCCAGAAACACAGAATAAACACCACGTGATAGTGTTTAGATATGGAATTTTTAAAGAGAAACTCCTGAAAGCTAAGTGTGGATAGGACCAGGTTAGAGAGATGTTTTACTGAGAGGGCACAAGAAAATTTGTTCTATAGACAGATATAAAGCATGGTGACCAGAGGTGAAAATGGTGGAATAGATTTTAAGCATTTTTATCACACATACACATGAAGAAGTGAATTAAATGGACAGGGTTTCACAAATAAATAGAAGGGGAAAATGACAGTCCTCAGATCCTGAGCCCTTACCTGCCTGTGAGCAGAGATAAGCAGCTGGTACCCAAAAGGATACCATAGTCACTCCTCACCGATGTGTTGTTACACCTACATGAAAAAAACCCTGCATCTGTACCAAACATGCATACACATTTCCCTTTTCATCATTCCCTAGACAGTGCAGCATGAAAACTATTTGATAGCTTTTTATTTTAGTATGCATTTTAGTCACCTGGAGAGTATGTAAATTGTGTGACGGAATAATTCTAAGTTACAGGCCTGTATTACACCACTGCCATTTGAAATAAAAGATTTGAGCATCTGTGGATTCAGGCATCTATCAAGGTTCCTGACACTAATTCTGGCAGATACTTGGGGATAGTATAAGCTGTGTTCATGTGTTATGTGCTTTGAGTGTGTGTATATATTTGAGAGAAGTTCTGTCACACCAACATCATTATGGCCATGTGAGAAGAGACACTTGAAACACAGGTATCTCAGATGCCTTCTAGAGTCCAGCCACTAGCTGTGACATGCTATACTTCCAGCTAACAGTTGCAGATACCACAACCCACTTTCTCACCAGTAAACACTCCTGATTTCCCAAAGACCATATTGATCCAGCAGGAAGGAGACAGGCAGACTACATGCCAATAGTTTCTGCTTCGCATGTTCCACAGAAAAGCTGTAAATGTTCCCACAGATGGTGCAGTAGTGAAATTTTAAATTAACAATTGATGGATCCATGTTTGACCAGCTTTCATAAATATCTGTGATACCTAATCCATTGGAGTTGTTGTGGAGAGTTTTAAAATGGTGCTCTGATCATTGCATTCTGTTCCCTCATTTCTCAGTTACGAATGCATTGTCGTTAGTTGTGGCATATTTCCTGGATTGGTGTCATTTTAGAGCTCTATCTAGGAGGTAGGCAATCTGCTCACCCATCTCACTGGTGAAATGATTGATGGCTTCCACGGTGAGTAATCTCCAGTGTGCCTGGCTGTATTCTGTATACTTGCATAATGCATCTTCTCATTCAGGAACTCAGATGATGGAAACTTCACGTTAGGAGATCAATGTAAGTCAAACATTTCTTTGTAAGACAGTTTCTAGAATGGTGGATTCTTAGAGGAAATTGGAACTTCGGGGAATGGTACAACCCTAACATACCTGGTATTTCAAGCTTGCGGTAAGGGTTCCATTTTCCTGATATCAGCAGAGCCCAATCTATGGTAATCTAACCTAACTCCTACCAAGGTACAAGAGCACTAAAAATTGGGCATCTGTGCAACAATCAGGGTAAAGTATACAGTAGAGTTCCTAACAACATGCACAAACAATCAAACCTTCACAAGGCTACAGAAGAGCAGTTCATACATGGAGAGAGCTCCAGAAGAGCCCCCAACCCTCCACCCCAGTAGGTTCCATCCTTTCTTTCCCTCCCTCCTTTGCATGCTGCCTCCACCTAGACCTTAAAAATATGTCACTGGAGAGGCCACAGACCACTGCTGG